GAAAGTGAGTTTACCATCTCCTTGCAGAATGCAATGCCCGTCCCAAGATACACAGTAAAGCAATCAGTGCCCTAGGCCTGGGAGTTTCTCAGTCATGCCTCAAATCCCCTGGCACCTCCCCAAAGATTTAAGAATTCCAGCGTTGTCCAGTTGTGATGGCTCATGCCTGTAATCCCAGCATTTTGGGAAGTCAAAGCAGGAAGGATTACTTGAGGCCCAGAGTTTGAGACCAGCCTGGGCAACATGATGAGACCCCCGTTTCTACGAAAAAAAAAAAAAGGATTAAAAAATGTTTAAAAAAAAAAAATCTGCACTAGTCCCTTTTCCAAGCTTCCAGATGTTTCCTCCCCTGAGTGGAAACCAAGCTTCCTGATGTTTCCTCCCAGCCACTAGTCCCTGCCCCTGGGAGCCACAGAGTAAGGGGCCCAGGAGAAGGTCGGTCTGGCTTTGGGAGGATGTGACAGCACACACCCCACTCCAGGAGGACCCCAAAGGAGGCTGATTCAGCAGAGCAAAGTCCTCACTCTGGAAACCCAGGCTCTGCCATCACCTTCTTCTGTGACGTTGGCTAAATACCTACCCCTCACGGGCCCTCAGCGACCCATTGTTAAGGAGGACTTGGAACATGAGTATGGAAATGTTCGCTCCCATCCGAACACTGTAGGATCATTACTTTACTGACTCAAATTACTAGGTTTGCCACATGGAAGCCTGCCAGCAATACCCCTCAGAGCAGAGGCTAACACCTGAGAGGAGAATAAACTGGTTCCTCCGGCCCGGGAGGCCCAGCCCCGTGGCCTCGGCTTTGTCTCTGCAGACATTCCTGCCCCAGCCTGAGAGGTGCCAAGACCCTCTAGGCTGCTCACTCTGCTCCTGCCTAGCCTGAGGACCTGCCCCCACCCCAAAACTCGCATTCTCCCAGTGGGAGAGAGGGGCAGCCTGTTGGGGTGCAGAGGGAGGGACACAAGGAGGTAGACAGGAAGGGAGGGGCAGTGTGGCTGGCAGGCATCAGAACCAACCCTTCCCAACAAAGGCTGCTCCACCCGGCTGGCCTCTCTCCAGCTTCCCAGGAGCCCTCACGTCCCAGCCGGAGGGATCTGTCGAAACACCCAAGTCATACCCTGTCTTCATGCTCTTTGGAGTTCCTTTTGACCTTCTGCACTCTTCCACTCCAGCCAGACAGATTTCTTTACTCTTGGGCCCTTCCTGCCCACCCTCCACGCCTACCCATAGCAGTCCTTCCACATTTACACATGCGCCTCCTCCCTTCCATCCTCCTAGCCTTTGTTCAAGCCATTACCCCCACCTGCACGCTGGCCCCTGGCCACCTTCCTTTTCTTTTCTTTTTGAGACGGAGTCTCGCTCTGTCGCCCAGGCTGGAGTGCAGTGGCACAATCTCGGCTCACTGCAAGCTCTGACTCCTGGGTTCACACCATTCTCTCACCTCAGCCTCTCGAGTGGCTGGGACTAGAGGCGCCCACCACCATGCCCGGCTAATTTTGTTTTTGTGTTTTTAGTAGACACGGGGTTTCACCGTGTTAGCCAGGATGGTCTCAATCTCTTGACCTCGTGATCCCCCCGCCTCGACCTCCCAAAGTTCTGGGATTACAGGCGTGAGCCACCACGCCCAGCCCCCTGGCCACCTTTCTATCCAAACTCTGCTAGCCTTTAGGGCCCATCTCCCAGAGAAACCCAGCCTTCATTGTCTCAAGCCACCCACTGGCCTCTCTGCTCCATGGGGAACTGTGTACTGTAAATTATCCCTTCCTACACAGAGCTTCTGAATCCTCCCCACCCCTGCCCCCACCTCCCTGTCGCTGGCTAGACTGGGGCCACCATAAATGATACCTGTCTGTGTAACTGAAACCTCCCCTAGAGATTGAGAACTGGAACCCATCTGGATTCATCTTCTCAAGATTTATCTCATCCTCTCTGGGCCCTGATAACAATTTCTCTTGTACCTGGATTTTCCTGGCAGTGTGAAAGTCCTTTCACTGCCTCCCTTTAGCTCTTGTCTGACACAAGCCGTGTCACAAATCTGGCACAGCCATGACCTGCTGCTCAGGCTGTGCACTGCACAACTCCAGGGGTATTATTCACTAGACCACATGTGATGACCTAAAGTCAGGTACCATGGCAGCCCTGGGGCCCAAAGCTCTGTCTTTTCTCTCCGTGGGTGATCTACTGGCCAGATTCTAGAGGGAACACCTCGAAGGTCACGGCGCAGACCCCTCACTCACAGGTCAGGTGCCACAGCCTCCACTCCTGGCCTTTAGCTGCCCTTTGTTCCCATGTCATCCCCCAGAGTGAAGGCCTGATCATTCCTGCCCATCAGTCTGCCCATCCGAGGCAGGTGGTACTGAACAGCCACCCCTCTCTCTGTTACATGGTCTCCTTGGGCCTCAGTTTCCCCAGCTGTGAAGAAAGAGATGGGTTCCTGACCTCCAAGGGATCCCTCTGTTCTGAAGCTCACCAATCTATTCTTCACAGATGTTGCCAATTGCCAATGGGGAATATGTGATTCTCATGCCCACATTACTATGTGTTGTTTTCGATTCGATAGGCTTAGGAGCCTCAAGAAGAGAAGGGAGGCCGGGCACAGTGGCTCACACTTGTAATCCCATCACTTTGGGAGGCTAAGGTGGGCAGATCATTTGAGGTCAGGAGATCAAAATCAGCCTGGCCAACATGGTGAAACCCCATCTCTACTAAAAACACAAAAATTAGCCAGGCGTGGTGGTAGGTATCTGTAATACCAGTTACTCGGGAGGCTGAGGCAGGAGAATCGCTTCAGCCTGGGAGGCGGAGGTTGCAGTGAGCTGAGATCAAGCCACTGCCCTCCAGCCTGGGAGACAGACCGAGACTCTGTCTCAAAAAAAAAAAAAAAAAAAAAAGAAGAAGAAGAAAGAAAAAGAGAAGGGGCATTTACAAAATGCAGAGGAGCCTGGGACAGCTGAGAAGGGAGAGGTAACCAGACTCCTTGGGGTGACTGCTGAGTGTGGGGGGCAGGAGCCCAGGCACTGGATCCACAGACGTGGTGAATCTGTGTTGCCTCGAGGGAAAGGGCCAAGCGTGAAATTGCAGCAGCAAAAAAAAAATGTTAGAACAGCACGAGGCATCGATGCTCAGAGCAGGGCCGTTTTTCCACCTGTCACTGGAACAAATTCCCACAGACTGTCAGCCCAGGGACCAAAGGACCCATAGGCTCAGGCAGAGGGACTGAGACTGGTACCCCCATTTGGTAAGGGGGTCACCTATCAGGGCAGTGACGGAGAGAGTCCTTCAAGTCCAATAGACCTGGCTGTGAGTCCAGGCTCTGCTCAGACCCTCTGAGCCACCTTGAGACTGCTATTTCTCTGAGTATCTGTTTCTAGATGTTTTAAAAGGGGGAGAGTCGCAATTCCTTGCTCCCAGGATCACAGTGCAGTGACGAGCTTAGCATCCTGCCTAGTACATAGAACAAGCAGTACATAGAACTGTTCACTGCTGTTGTGAAGACAGTGTCCTGGCAGGTGACCTGTGCTCACGGCGTCCAGGTGCATGCATGCACGCACACACACACACACACGCACACACAGAGTAGGGCAGCAGACGGAACACACGCCCTGCTACGGGCCATTTTAAGGAGTCGGGGTGGGTGAGGACCCAGGCATGGTGGAGGGAAGAGGGAGGCAAGAAGCCTTTTTCAGCCTCCCTGGCGTCATCTCACAGTGCCTCCCTCAGGAGGGGAAAAGGGAGGGGAGTGAGAAGGCTGTTTAGCTGTGTTCCATACTGGCTGTGTCTCACACAACCGGCCCCACCCCGACAGGGGTGACTCCCTGGGGACAGAATGGGAGTGCATTCTCAGGCACCTAAATCTTACAGACTCAGTGCCTGCACAGAGAGACGGGTCCCCAGCCCAGGGTCCCAGGCAGCTTTCGTGCGTGGGGGTGGATTGACACACAGCCTGGTGGTATTCACACCCAGTGTGCATACGGGTGAATTCACACCCATTCCTTCACCGTCGAACCCGGTCCTGGGGGGCAGCATGGCACCTGCCAACGTCACGGGTTGGTTGTGAGTTCACGGTAGATTCTCACACACCAGCCTCACAAGAGGCACTGCCGAGACCAGGCTTGCTGCCGCCTACTGTATGGCCGGCCCTGTGGGCACAGCTATCCTCCACCCGCCTCCCAAGGCACCATCGGGCCCAGAGTGTGCCCGATGAGTCACGGGCCTGGGTCTCCCCAGCATGGGCGCAGCAGGGGGGCTGAGTCCGCCTGAGCCCCGGTGCCCAGTTCAGGGTCTGGCACAGAGCAGATGCTAGTGAATGAACGTCGGGCTGGATGAATGAACGAATGACTAATGCCAGCTCCCTCAAACCACGGGCTACACCTTCTGAGCCTGGGGGAGGGCAGAGCCCACGGGACCCCAGAAGAGGCCTCCACAGCCGAGGCTTTGGGTCCCAGGGTCGATGGGGGAGGGGGCGGGGCGGCCAGCTGCCGGGGCGGCGCGGGGCTCCCCTTCTTCCCGAGAAGGAATCTGGGTCTCTGGACTGAGCTGGTGACGGGGGCTGGGGCGGGGGGTTGTGGCGTCCTGGATGGAGAGAGCTGCAGGACCAGGGGGCGCGTCCCGGTTTGCGTTGGGGGTGTGGGACGAAGCGGCGGCCACGGGACATCCCCTTCGGTGGGGGAGCCCGGGTCTGCCCGGGGCCTCCGGAGGGTGCAGAGGGCTCCCAACGGCGGGACTGGCCCGGGGCGCCGCAGACCTGGCCCTTTCCGGCGGGGCCCTGGAGAGGGGGACGCAGTGTCCCGCGAGGTGACCGGGGGCGCAGGAAGGACTGGGGGCGCGCACAGCCCCCTCTCCACGCGCAGGAGGTCCAGCCCCGCCACCGCCCCCTCCGCCCTCCCAGGACCTCCGCCCACCTGCGTGAGGGGCTCACCTGGGCCGGCGGCCCCTCCTCGAGACGCGCGAGTCCCTCCCCCGGGCCCCGGCCCTGCCCTCCCCGCGCCCGCCCTCACCTGCACGGCCCGCCTTAGCCATGTCCCGGGCGGCGGGCTCCGGCGGCGCTACCCGCGCTCCTCGCGCCTCCCGGGCCCGGCCCCGGCCGCCTCCGGCCCCGAACGGACTCCGAGCGCCGCGCCCGCGCCCCCGCCCCGCTCGCCTCGGCTGCCGCCACCGCAGCCGCCGCCGCCTCGCCGCTCCCTCCCGCTCCCTTAAAGGCGCCGAGCGGCGGCCGCGCCCCCCCAACCCCCCGCGCCGCCGGGGAGGGACTGACGAAGGAAGGCGCCCAACGCCGCCCCCGCGGGCCCGCACCCCCGCCCCGGGCCGCGGCCGCCGCGCTCCAGCCCGCTCCGCTCCGGCCCGCGAGGCAACCGCAGCGCGCGAGGGGCGGCAGCCCAGGGGCGCAGAGACGCGGAGACAGCCCGAGACACTGCGGGCCGGACAGAGACGGGGCCCTGGACTGGGAGAGGGGCGCAGAGACTGTGAGACAGCGCTGGAGAGAGACGCTCCTAGGGCCGGAACGCCGAGGGAGAGGGAGAGAGAGAGAAATTCAGAGAAGACCAGAGACCCAGAGCCCGGCTCCGGGAGAGAGGGACAGAAGGAACGGGGAGAGGAAGGAGGACAGGGACCCAGGGAGGCTCCCACGAAGCCAAGAGGAAAGTCGCTGTGGGATCAGAGACAAGAGAGGGACCCCCTCCATCAGCCCCCACCCCAGGGGCTCTGAATCATTTATAGCGTCTGACCTAACCTCAAAAGAGAAGGGATTCCCGTGATTTTAACCCTCAAGGGTTAAGTAAAACACTTGCACATCCACCTGGGTTCCAGGCTGGGGCAGGCTTTGTGGACCCCAGTGGCCTGGTGGTGAGCAGTACCCGCCTTCCACTTCCCAAACCGGGATGCAGGGATGCTAGTGGACAGGCCTCGTGGGCCACGAAGATTTGGGTTATGAGCTCTGCTTAGGGGCAGCAGGGATCCGCAGTCCAGCCCCAACAGAGGGCAGGAGATGGCCAATCGTATTTGGCGGTGCCTGAGAGGTAGCAACCTTCCACTGAGACGGTGCCCTGCCTCCCCCCGGAAACTGGTAAGGCTGAAGCCCAGTTACCGTCTATATAGCCAGGCACCCAACCCACCCTGTCCCACTCCACTTAACAGGGAAAAGGTCAACTGGAGAATTTCATCCATGGTCCAGGCTCCAGGGTCGCGCAAACTCCTCTATGGAAACAGGGCACACATGGGGTTAGATGGGGGCTCTCAGTCCAGAGCCTCCTCTCCTCCTCTGGGGTTTTGACTCCATTCACAGGATTCCTGCTAAGCAGTCCTTCAGCTCCTGGTTTGTTACCTCCAAGGACAGGAAGCTCAGTATCTTAAGTGAGAGTTCTTCCTTTTTTAAATTTTTAATTTTTTTTTTTTTGGGCCAGTGCTGGCATTAAGAATGTTCTTACTCGCTTGAGCTGAAATCTGTATCCCACATGTCCCATCCATGAGTTCTGCTCTGCCTTCTGACACCTCACCCGACAAAACCAGGGCTTCCCAGGGCCCTCTACCCAAACTCCCTAGTACGGCTTCACCCAGGGAGAACCACCATCCAGGTTTGCCAGGGTTCATCTCCCAGGAAACCCAAGAGTTCCAAGAGCTCTGGATCCTAGAGCCAGATGACAGCACCAACTCCAATAGATGTGGAATTTCCGAAGCTCTGGGCTCCTGGATCCAACGCTGTTCACCGGCACCTGCCATTGGTCACCAGCTGGGAGAGCAGGAATGGACTCTGCAGCCTTTCCCCACTACGGGGATGGGAGTGGGGATGAGAATAGCAAGGACTATTGATTGGACAGGTGGTATTTACCCTCATGTACTCTCTCAGCTACACTGCATTATGCTCAGTGTACACATAAGGAGGTGGGGGCTGAGAAAGTTCAGTGCTTGCGATCATGGGGGATTCAATTTCAGGCCCCTGTGCTTTGTCTGATGGGCCTCACTAGCCTCGCCCTTCCCTGAAGCAGGAGGCACTTCAGAGGCCTGATGGCCTGGACAATGTCCAGGCTTGGCCACCTGGTCTGGAGGCGTGAGTGGTCACGCAGGAGACAGAACACTGGCTGCAGAAGAAGCAATGTGCCTGCCACAGAAGGGACACGCCCGGGCCTGGGCTCCTCCCTAGCCCTGGCTCACAGCAGCAGCAGTGACCAGAGGGCATCAGGGGCCCTCCTGCTTCTGCGCACAGCTTCACGTCGTGTTTGTGTGTGTGCCTGGGTATGTGTGCATGGGATGTATGCGTGTGTGCTTGTGTGTGCTCAGGGAAGCATGCATGGGTGTGTGTAGGCACACTCGTACACACAGACATGGGCAAACACCTGCTGACAGATGCTTCCTGGGTGGGCACCCAGACCCCTTCCCCTCCCACCACTTAGTCCTCACAAACCCTAAACTAGTCACCCAGGAGGGCCTGGGTGGAGCGGTTAAGGGGAGGTGCCAAGTTGATGGGAGTTTCAGAAATCATCTCTCCAGACCACTCCACACCCCACTTCTCAGATGGGAAGACAGTGAGCCAGATCTGTCCCCCGAAAACCACGACTCAGAGGCCCAGATCCATGGTTCCCCTCTTTAAACCTTCACCCCAGCCTCTGTCTGCCCCCAAGGCAGCTCCTGAAGGCACTGACTGTTACCAGCTGCCAAGGAAGTTCCAGCCCAGCCTTCTGACAGAGCAAACACATCAGGACTCAATGAGGCCATTAGATTAACTGGTGGGAGTTAACTTCCTGCGTCAGAAGAATTGTCTAATTGAAGAAAGGGATAACTAGCAATTTAGCCACGCTGACCTCTGCGGCCCGGAAGAAAGAGGCAGGAGCCAGCCAGGGCCTCCAGGGCCTCCCAGCTCCCAGTGACCAGTTACTATGCCAGGAGTTCAGACGGAATCCCTTCTCTGAGACCTGGCACCCAGGCCCTTTCCTCTGACCACAGCTTTTTCTGCTCCTGCCTTCACAGTGGCCAGCTGCTCCCGGGCCCAGGCAAGCATTCTAACCCAGAGAACCGGTAAAAGTGAGCGGGGGCCCATCCTGTCAATGGCCGTGGAGGACGAGTGCAGAGATGTGACAGGTTGGAAAGCTCCAGGCAGGTAGGAAGTGGGAGCTGGCTGCAAGACAACTCCTCGACATGACAGACCCCAGGCCTGGCTATCCAGCCTGGACAGCTGGTGTCAGCACTTGGAAAGCTAAGTGACAGTTCTTGGGAGTCAGCGTGGCCCCCCGAAAGCTAGTCATGCCAGGCAAAGCTCGTTTCCTATTTGGACAACAGTTATGACTAGTGGAGTTGGGCATTGCCGTGCCTTCTGGGTCTGGGTTGGGGCACAGCTGCTGCCCAGCTCTCTGATGGTAACTTTGTAAACAACAAAGGGAGTCAGGAGCAAGATGATAGCCTGGTCCAGCGGCTTACCCCGGTCCACTCCCTGATGGACCCCAGTGGACGGGGCCTCCACCTCCCTCCAGGACTTGAGCTATGTCAAGCATCTCAGCAAAAGTGCTCACAACAGAGAATAAGCTGCATAAGAAGGATGCTGCTCATGTAGACTGGACAGAAGCACGGCCATTCACCATGGCCTTGACGAGCTGGGACCACGGGCCAAAGCCAAGAGGATGAGATAAACATGGACAAGTAAGAGAGGCCATCCTCCCAGGCCAAACACAAGCACCCAGCTAGGAGTGTTCACTCCCACTTCAGAATTTCCACAGCCCCTTCTATCCTTGAGTCCCACTCCCCGGTCAATATCACATCACTATGTCTCACCTGGACCACTGGAAGCACCTCTTCCTGAGGTGCTCCCAGCCTGACTCTGCACCCTTCTTCACCCCCTCCTTTCTGGTTCCTATGCTTTGTAAAGTCTCATGGTTGCTGTCCGCTGCCACAGGAACCACCTCTAATCACAAAAGTAGTCCCAGACACAGTTGCTCTTCCTTGGAGCCTTCCAGAATCGCTCTGAGAGTAGCTGGTTTCTTCTCACCAACTCTTTCTTGCCCCAGGATGCCCCCAGTTCCACCCAGCACCCAGAACACTGAGTGGAACATGCCCTTCCATCCAGAACTACTACTCTTCTCCTCCTTCTCATCCTCCCCCTCTCCTCCTCCTCTTCCTCTTCCTCCTCCTCTTCCTCCTCTTCCTCCTCCTCCTCTTCCTCTTTCTTCTCCTTCTCATTCTCCTCCTTCTCCTCCTCTTCTTCCTCCTCGTCCTCTTCCTCCCCCTCATCCTCTTCTTCCGCCTCCCCTCCTCCTTTTCCTCCTCCGCCTCCCCTCTTCCTCCTCCCCTCCTTTTCCTCTCCTCTTCTTTCTCCTCCTCCTCCTCATCCCCTCCTCTTCCTTCTCCTCTTTGCTCTACCTCCTCCCCTCCTCTTCCTCCTTCTCCTCCTCCTCCTCCCCTCTTCCTCCTCTTCCTCTTCCCCTCCCCCCTCCCTTCCTCCTCCTCCCCCCTTCCTCTTCCTCCTCCTCCCCTCCTCTTCCTCTTCGTACTCCTCCTTGCCCCTCCTCTTCCTCTTCCTCCTCTCCTCTTCCTCCTCCTCTTTCTCCCCCTCCTCCTCCTCCCCTCCTCTTCCACCTCCTCCCCTCCTGTTCCTCTTCCTCCTCCTCCTTTTCCTTCTCCCTGATGGTGGCTGTGGCTTATCTAGTGTGTGCTTCTTTTTTTTTTTTTTTTTTTTTTTTTACTTTTCTTTGAGATGGAGTCCCACTCTATCACCCAGGCTGAAGTGCAGGGGCACAGTGGTGGCTCACTACAACCTCCGCCTCTGGGGTTCAAGCGATTCTCCTGCCCCAGCCTCTCGGGTGGCTGGGAATACATGCCCAGCTAATATTTGTATTTTTAGTAGAGACAGGGTTTCACCATGTTGAGGCAGGTTGGTCTTGAACTCCTGACCTCAAGTGATCTGCCCACCTCAAGGAACACCTGGCCCAGGGCGGAAAACCGCTTAAAGGCATTCTTAAGCCACAAACAACAGCATGAGCAATCTGTACCTTAAGGACATGCTGCTGCTGCAGATAACTAGCCCAACCCATCCCTTTATTTTGGCCCATCCCTTTGTTTCCTGTAAGGAATACCTCTAGGTAATCTATAATCTATAATCTATAGAAACAATGCTTATCTCTGGCTTGCTGTCAGTAAATAAGTGGGTAAATCTCTGTTTGAGGCTCTCAGCTCTGAAGGCTG